CTTGCAATGGTGATGGAATCAGAAAATCTAACGCTTACACTGTGCTGTACGGTGGCAAGCAGACAGGCTTATTGGAATTGTGAGCGGCGTTCATAATGGACAACAGAGTACAATTGACTTTCAATCTATAAGTGAAAGAATGTGCAAACTGAGAATCAAGTCGCGTTTCCTTAAAATAACAATTATTAACGTAACAACTAAAACCGTTACGACTCATACCCAAAAAATGATATCAAGACTATAATCGAGGATTGTAATAAGAACGTAAAGACCGGAAAGGAGTAGGAATTTATAAGATCAATTGCCAGGCATAGTTTTCACGAGGAGACTAATGAAAACAGTGAATTTCTGATTAATTTTGCAGCGGCTAAGAATATGGTAATAAGCTGAACCTATCTTCCCCATCGAGATATCTACAAGGCTACCAGATGGGAATACATATAATCAAAGACCTCACCTACCAATAGACAAAACAACAACCACTAACAACTCACTATCTAGTTCAGGTAAAATTGAGGTGCAAAATTAACAGCAAAATATAACAGAAGACTCAGAAGCAGGAAATACTTAATCTAGAGAGTTTGAAAGGATCAATTGTAGGAGAGAAACTGAGTGCGGAAGTGGAGAACGGATTAGGAGAGGAAGGCTATGGAATATAATGGCTAGATGGAGAATGGAATGGAATAAGGATATGAACATGAAGGGATGCAGAAGAAACCTACAGAGAAATGAAAAACGTGGTGAAACAGGTGGGACTGAGAACAAATATAGCAAACGAAAATGGAGACGCAGAGTCGGCAAGCAGAGATATGGAGGATAACATAGAGGAGAGGTGGTCACGCAAACCGTATATCTTGAAATGAAGCTGCCATTCATTGTTACAAGAGATGACATTCAAGCGGGGGAAATATGACGAAGGATACTGCCGGCTAACCAATAACATAATATTTCGGATCTATACAACAATTTTAAGGTCTATAATGAAATATAGTTTAAGATATGGATGCTAACTCTGAAATTGCAAAGAGCTTAGACATCTTCGAGGGGAAGATCCTGAGGATTGTAGATGCAACATATAGCTACCACAAGGAGGTAATGTACTAAGAGTATCAAGATCCAGCGATTGCAATGGACAGGACATATTGTCCGGATGAAGGAGGGATGGATACCGAAGTAACTACTTAACAGGATATTGCAAGAAGCGAGATCTAGGGGAAGACCTAGGTAGGGTGGAAGGACGGAACGAACAGGAGCGCCAGGGATATGGTTATATCCAAAAACTGGAGGAGGATGACCATGGAGAGAGAGGATTGGAGGCAAAAATTGAGAGAGACCAGGGACGATAACGGTCTTATTTTATTATTTTTTGGCAAGACACTTAATAAGACGCTTTTTCTTTATACCACCAGAACATCAATGTCTATAAATATAAAGATCTAATGAAACAATTATAAAATATTTTCAAGAAAATAATTAAAAGAGGTTAACCTCTAAAAATTACGAACAAGAGCGCGATCTTAATATAAACAAGTCCAACGCCATGAAAGCTCAGTGCTGGCGGTAATTGAACAAGAAACCAGCAGAATTAACGTGAACAATAAAGGACGAACAAGGTTGCAAGTCAAAACGTGAACAAATTGGTGTGACATAACCAGCAATTCGTGAAAAAACGTGGGAGTTTTCCACCCAATCCAGGAGTGCCAACACAATGTTGGCAAGGCAAAGAAGGGAACTGTAAAACCTGACAGTTGAAGAGGAAGAAAGAAAGAACGTTAAAAAACCCGACGTAACCTCAAAATATATCAGGCACAAAAAATGCAAAACAGATAGAAACCCTAAAATAGGATCTCTGAGATCTTTACCACAATGGCGAGGAGATGTTTATATATGATACTGAGGTTTTGGAAGTCTGTTCCTGAGAGTTTTACAGTCATCCTTTCTTAGTTAATAGAAACCATTTCAAAAAAGAGGCGTTTTTTGAAGTTATTTTCCTGAAACAGGTTAACCAACTCCGATTTGTTGGAGCGGAGATTTTTACAATCAACTTCATGTTGTTGAACTCTTCTCTTGACATATTGTGAAGTGGTCCCTATATAAGACGCTGTGTAAACACCACGCGGGATTTTGTAGATAACGTTGGATTTAAGAAGCATGGGGGTGGGATCCTTAAGATTCGAGAAATAGCTCTTAAGAGGTCTGTAATTAAATTTAGCAATTTTTATACTTTCAGTATGTAACAGTTTTGTTAACCTAGTGGTCAACTGCAGAATAAATGATAGGAGTGAGAAACCAAGCTTGTCGTCAGTTACCGGGGATCTCGTTAGGGATGTATCGAGTATCCTGGGGGTCGTGTATAGAAGTTTGTTTACCGGAGGTCTGGGAAAGCCATTGTTGCAGAACATATCCGACAACAGATACAATTTTTTTTTCCACAAAACGGAGATGGAAAATCTTCCTAATTCTGTCCCTCATTGCAACAACAGTATTAAGTTTTTGATGTAACGGATGATTGGAATGAAAGTTAATATATCTTCCTGTGCGTTGTTTTTTCCTGCACCAATCAGTACAAATCGACCCGTCATCCTCTCGAATAACAAGGCAATAGAGAACGGGGACTGACTTGGAGGACTCAGTTTCAATAGTAAACTGTAACCTGTTGTTATGTACAATTAAAGGTATCCAATACAACATCCAGGGCAATGGAGGAGATGTAGCAGATAATATCATCCACGTATTTGTAAATGAAGGGAAATTTGAAACCCAACTTAGGTATGGAGTTGGAAATTAAGTCATCCATTACAATCAATGCCAGTACAGGGCTCAAGGGGCTACCCATCGGTGTACCAAACATTTGCTGATAGATTTGTCCTTGATAGGAAAAGGCAGAGGAGGTGAACAGAAATTGGATGATCTCCATAAAGAGATTCTTCCCATTCCCTGCTTATTATATGGGTCACCAAGTCCATGGGACTGTTGGTACATAATGAAACCATGTCCAACGAGACCAAAGCATGGTCGACGGGGAGCTTAATCTTAGCCACCTCCTCCACAAACGTATATGAGTCCTGGATGTTGAAACTAGTCCAGTTTGAGAGCTCCAAGTCCAGAGAGCTAACAAAAGATATATGTAATAGGTCTAAGGGGACAGTCGTCTTTATGGACTTTTGGAAGGCCATAAAATTTAGGGCTAACGCCGTTGTAACACATCAAGGCTTTAGAGGTCTTAGTGTCAATACACTCCAACTGCTTCAGTTTTTGGACGTATTTGCTATTTTTAGTTTGGGTGGAGGTTGTGGGGTCCCTGGGGAGCTCTTTGTAAGTAGAATCATCAGACAGGAGCAACATAGCTCTTTGAAGGTACATCGATTTGGACATAGCAACAGTGCATTGACCTTTATCTGCAGGTGTAATGATAATTGGATCTGAAGGATCACTATTTTTTAGAAACCTGGAGGTCACCCTCTCAGTATTTAATATGAATTTATGTATTTGAGAAAAGAATGAAGAACCTCTAACATAGTTAATGAGTATATTAATTGATTATTAACATAGTGAGTATTAATCATTTTGTCCAACAAACAGGAAAAGCATTTGATGTGAGAAGAACATGTTTTGCCAAATAAGGATTTCACACGAGAACACTCTTCAAGTCTAGAGTTCGCATTGCTTGCATACTCTTGCTCTAATTATTGAGGTTCTAATTAGCTATGAAAACTGATCTTTTGAAAATACTTTTTTTGAAAGGTTAAATTTTAAAGATCATTAAGGTTAAAATCTGAATTGATGCCAGATTTCTTGATACCTATATATTATGTATCTATCTCTAAAATTTGTTACATTTTTGATAATGCTTCACTGAACGCTATTTAAATTGTTTCCATAGTCCGTCCATAGTTTCCAGTGTCCATAGTAGAAATTAAGAATTGGAAGCGATGTGAAAAGTATTTCTCAATAAACACAAAGTGAGATAGTCCTGTCCCTTACCGTATCGTTTCTGGTTCTTATTAAAACTCAAATATGATACTTCAGGAAGTTGAAACCTGAACGAGATCCATTATTACCATTATTAGGCATTATATCGCCATTAAGCGTTTCTTTCTACACCCAACCCACCCTTAATAGCATTTTACCGAATATTATTAAGATGATTACGAATTTTTTCGAAAGACGCATATATAATATTAAGAAGTTAACTAATTCGGTTAACTGCCTCGTGAACTCCTATAGTATCAAAGCATTGTTTGACATACACGTAACATACGTGAATTCTAACTAAACAGCTACACAAGCTAACGCCAATCACTTCTATAAAGAACCAACTAATTTAAACAAAACTACCAACTGTACATATAAACTCAATAATGCCCCTACTCTTCCTCGTTGTTGTTCAAAATTGGTGAAAGTGAGGTAGAACGCCACTAGAGCAATAGCTGGCCTGCAATCACATCTCACTGAGGCAAAAATATATACATCTATGTCATAGAGTATTAGCATAGATTTATCTTAAATCTTGTGCGAAAACCACGTACATTTTAATAGTACTATATTATAAAGCTCAACATCGTGAATTTTTACATTTAAAACTTTTTTCACAATTAAACATACTAAAAATGATCAACAGTTCCAACACCCTAAACTCAAAGTTTGACTCTTTCCAATTCCAATTCAAAAGTAGGGGTACTGTATTTGCTGACATCAGATTTAAATCAATATATTATATTATATGAAACTTTAATATAACGTGTTGTGTTATAACAATCATCAAATTAAGTATGTTCATTGCCCTCACCTTTTTTTGTCAGAAAGCGAATAATGCAGAAACATTTTAATATTAAATCAATCAAAAATTTGTACAATTCTTTGAACATTTCTAGTAAAAATGCTATACTTTTTATATTGAAGAACACCAGTTAATTTGTAGTTAAGTACAGCTTAATTGAAAATTAAATCTTATATGACTGTTTTCTTTTATTAAAAATAATAACCAATTAGGTACTTACCTTCATGATCTAATAATGGTCTTCTAGATGGCGAACTTCTAGGTGCTGGAGGCTGTTTTAAAACGGCTAACGGCACAAGCCCTTCTGGTACGGTACTATTTTCACTGTCACTGCCCCTTGTGGGCATACGCACTAAACAAAAGTCTGGTTTCGAAGAGTGTATTTCCACGACTTCCACTTGTTGTCCCTTAGAAACGCTTAGTTCATGAGGACTGGTCGCGGTAAAATCGCTTACCACCCATGTCATCTCCAATACTCCAGCCTGCAAGAACCAAAACACAAATCTTAAAAATAATGCTATAACTTTTTATACATTAAAAATTAAAAATATAATTAAAAAAAATCTACGTTGTTTACAAACCGTGTACGATAAAAACGAGATTTTTTATTCAATCATTCATAACAACATGCAATATTGAAACGATCCTCAAACTCTATCTTATCTATCTTTGATAAACAAAATTAATATACAGTAGACTTTTAACGTTAAAGCTACCAAATATAATCCAGCCGTTCGTTACAAGTTTATTATTACAAAAAAAAAATAAAAATATGTTTTAAATAAAGTTCTTTCTTCAATCTACATATATTAAAACCGGCTTGATTTATATTTATTATTTTCAAGAATAAACGCTTTTGACGTGTTAATGCATAACAGATTTTTCTTTTAAATAAATTTAACGGTAGCGTTGTAGGTGTAGATTGCCTTTTTAATACGACCTCGTAAGCAGTCTTTAACCTCGATACATGATGGTCTTTGTGGTCACTTAATAGCACACTTGCGTTTAAAAATACGCAAAAATCGTTATTCCTTCCAAGAAAGCATATTATTTTTGCACTGAATATTAGTAATGCGGTAAAAAAATTGGGTTTCAACCGAAATTATTTTATTTACAGATTATTAATGTGATTACTTAGTACCGTGCCATTAGTATCCGTTCTTAACAGTATCCACCTTTTCAAGTTATACATAAAATATTATTTTAAAACGGAAATAATGCGTTATTGATTTAGACACGCTAACAGTAAATATACGCTTGTTATATTAGAATTTTATATTACAAAGTAAAAATCGATGATACTATGTATATCATACGCATAATCATAATTATTTTATGCTTTAATTTAAACCAGACGAAGTTTACGCAACTTATTTAACATATTTTAAAATTATTATGTCGTTTATTAAGTGTTTTCACTTAAATTGTCTTCAAGCTTAATTATAATGGGTATTTAAAGATCTTAATGTGTTAAATATAAGAAAAGATAAAACAACGATATGTAAATTAAATAGTAAAACTTGCCCGAAGTAAACTACAATTACCGGTAACGTTACCATGCCGTTATATTCACATAAACGTAAAAATATTCATAACGCATACAGCCGTAAAGTCGTTTCGAAGTCATATCTATGGTAATTCCAGTCGATATTTTCTCTGGTTTTATGGTGTTCGTTCGTCTATGCAACGGGTGGGTTTCAATTTAACGATAACGTTTCCAGCGGTGCTATGCTTAATCACACGGGAAAATACGTTATATCGCTAATGGATATAAAAAGGGTATGAGTAAATATCGATCGTCCAAAATTCATAGTACCCAACAATATTATTATTATGAAATGGTATTGTTTTCAGCATTTTGAAATTTATTTTTGGTCCAAAAATATCAAAGCCTATTAACGTATTTTAATAATATTATGAAATGAAATTTCGGCAACGCGTTCGCCTTGACGTATCGATTTCAATTAATCAACATGTCAGAGAAATTATGGAACATTAAAACGAGTACACTTTTAATAGAGAATGTGAAACGATCTCAAAACTTCCCTTTAGTGAATAAGTTCCGTCAGTTTTATTTCACGAAAAGCACGAGTCGAATTTTAGCTGAGTCAACGAGAGTTTGTTAATAGCTTAGATAATCTGTTTGACATCGTATAAAAACTGGCTGATAAAAGGAAAATGATACTGGAACTATTAAAGAGAGGTGCTTCACATAGTAGCGAGCACCACAATAACTCCCAATAACAATAAAATACCAACAAGGAAAGAAACAAGAAAATGACAAAAGAAAAATATTGACAGAAACAAGAAATATCTTAACAGCTGGGTCTGAAGCAACAAAAGGACTCAAACAAGGTTGTATCGATCCAACACATTATTTAGGAAGCGCGTTACTAAGATGGAAAAGAAATTGGCGTTACACTTTGGCGTTCACAGATGATCAAGTTGTAATTGCATAGGACATTGATAATGCTGAATATATGACGCACAAACTAATTAAAGAGCTAATAAAAGAGATAACTGGAGACTAGACTTGCAAAAAACTGAACATGTGTATTGGAAGAGAACAACGACATCTGCCTATCTTGAGTTAACATAACATCAAACACTTGGATATTGCAGCTCATACAAACACTTGGGCGTAAAAATATCGAAGGAGAACTGGCGAGGAGATAGCCGGAAAAAAAATCTGCAGGATAGGAAGGTAGTATCCATGTTAAACAGTCTGCTGTAGGATAAACATAAAACAAACAGAATATACAACTCAATAGTTAGAAGTACAATAACTTATAGATGTTGTTACAGAAGTGTGGTCTATAAAGAATAAGACAGAAAAAACACTGAAAACCACAGAAATGAATTACCGGAGAAGAACTGCTGGAAAATCTAGACAGGAAAGGATTAGAAACGAAGACATAAGGGACATATGATGCTATCTCGATACAACATTAGACAATATATCTGCAGTGCTTGGTTAAGCTGAGGTTGCTTGCGGTCAAAGTGCTATAAATGATACCATGTAGATATAATAGTGGACAATATATATGCAGGGCCTCGTCTGCAAACAACCTCGGCTTAACATACAGGTTACTTGCGGCCGAACCGCTACAATTGTTTTTTATATGAATCCACATTCTATCTACTATAATTTACCCCAACTTAGATGTAGAAGGCATGTACAAAGAATGCATCAAGACCGGCTACAAAAGAAAGTACTGCACTGGAGACCACAAAGAATAAGAAGAAGAAGAAGACCACAAAGAAGTTGGACAGAAGGTATTGACAGAGAAATATGGATGATAAGGCTGGAGAATAAGACGTGGAGAACCAGAGTCTAATGAAGATTGGCAATCGGATGACGGATTATGTTATAACCCGATGAACCTAAATAGAACTATTCAAAACAAATTGTGCGCTAAGTATTTCTCCTGTTAACTCCTTTGACACCATCTTATGAATTAGTACCAATCATATTTGACTTTAAAAGAAATCTGCTAAATTCATTAGCAGATTTGCTAACTCTTATCGAGAACTAGAAATAAGTGAAAAATCTATGCGGAATGTTTTTATTACTCTAAAATTAAGTTGCTGCTTAATAACGCTTGATAGATGTCAGCTGAGTATGAGAGATAAAGATATAGAGTAAGAGAGATATTCTTTAAGCTACTGTTAAAATACATGGACAGAATACTGACGATTTTACGATAAGTAAGTAATCAATTCAAAGAGATCGAACGATTAAAGGGAAAGAGCGTGCAGAAATCATAATAGACGATTTTCAAAATCTTAGACGTTTGGTACCTCAGATATTGTGACGTAATTTGTTGTTCACCGAGATGAATAATGCCTTTTAATTGCCTTCTTAAGAAGCTGAAAAATTAAATGAAGAACTTTATAGTTATGTTAAAAAGCTCTTCAAGAAGTTATGTGTCCAAGTTGTTGGAAACGCTATTGTAGACTGGAATTGTGATGATAATGTGTAAATTCTATGTTGTGACACTATAATACAGGTCATATCAACGATAACTGTGTGCTTATCAAACAATAACTTAATAAAGAGAAATGGTTATTGTTTACATGTCACTGTCACATGCATGAACGGTGTTATGAAGCGTATTCAAACTGAAATAAAGTCAAGTAACCACAGGCCTTGATAGTTACCTCTTCAAAAATTACGAAATAAATGGAAACTAAAGAAAAGTTTATGTGCTTTCCGAAATTCACAATTTGCTTGAGTTTTGCCGAGCTGATCTGACCAAAGAATTAGTCAGAGATGGATATCGAGAATTGATTGAGCTTTTCGTTGCATTTTTATGCGGAGACACTTAAAGCAAAAAATTCTCGTCATCCAGATGCTCGACGGATTTATTGCATAAAAAGGCTAATGTTTAATGCCCAAATACAAATTACGAGCAAGGATAAGATAGCATTGTTAGACGTTTGCCTTTTAATAATTATATTTTGTGTGTAAAAGCACTTTATCAAGATTTGTGCTTTTTGAAGTTAATGAATGCTGATGAAGTATCTTTCTTGCAATAATATACAGTCGACCAAAAAACCAACGAAAAATGGTTGCAAATTTAATCAACTCAAATGTAACAACCTATGGTAGAAGTTACATTCCATCGTAGGAAGAAGTTATTTTTTTAGATCTCTGTTCATATATAATTTTATTAACTGTCTTTCTCTCTTTTTTAATTCAAAGAAAACAACGGTGACGTTATTTCGGTCAAACTCAAGTCGTTGTTTGAACATTTTAAAATTAATGAGAGCTTTCTCTACGAATGTCCTACTTTTTAGTCAAATAATACTTCGTTTGTAGAACCCAGAAAGAATGTTTAAATACTTAAGGCAGTTAGCTATTTAGCTGAAAGAGCGGTTAAGTTGATGTAAGATTTTCATGGTGTAATTACGGTTAAAGAAGAACAGAAGCAATTTTTATTATGTTGCGTATAAGAACAACAGAAGATTTATCCTTACATATTTGTTTGAGATTTTGAAGTGAAACATAAAAAAGAGTGTATGTGTACCTGGATGATAATGAATTTAATCTTTAATCTTCCTTCAATACAACATGACATATAATATTACAAAAAAAAATTGCGGAATTACAGAACTTTGTACACGATTACTTAAAACTCATATCATTGCTCGTAAAGATCAAGATATGCGCAATTCAAGTAAGTTTAAACTCAAATATGTTAGAAATAGTATTTTATTTAGGGTCTGAAATTCATTTTGAAATGTTACGTAAATTTACATGCAAACGTTGTATTATTAATACAATGACTGTATAATTAATAATTTTCCTAATTATACAATTTTATTATTTGCAAACATTAACAAAGGTGAAACATCAACGAACAGTCACTCTTAATATCGGATTAATCACAATAAAGAATCCCTGTTATCACAAATTCATCGCATGTCATATTAAGAACATTTTCGCTTGCATTGCAGGGATACTATAGAGATAGAGGAT